GTTGGTGTAGCCAACTGTGACAGAGCTCGAATTTTGGTCGGATTTGCTTCAATTCCTCTATTGGAAACGATGAAGCCCAAGAGCTTTCCGGCAGGAACGCCGAAAACACATTTTTCCGGATTGAGCTTGATGTCATATGTTCGGAGATGGTCGAACGTAAGTCTCGGGTCATCTATTAAAAGACTCGACGTGTCTTGTTTTGATGACCACGTCGTCCATGTATGCCTCAACTATTTTGCCGATTTGTGTTTCCAAGCATGTCTGAATCATGTGTTGATAGGTTGCACCGGCATTTTTTAGCCCAAAAGGCATGGTGTTAAAGCAGAAGGGACCGTATAGAGTTATAAATGTCGTCGCGGCTTGGTCGGACTCCGCCATCTTGATTTGATGGTATCCGGAGTATGCATCGAGAAGCACAATGAGTCGTGTCCCGCGGTAGCATCGATGATTTGCCGCGGGGGAGGGGGAAGGGATCCTTGGGGCAGGCCTTATTGAGGTCCTTGAAATCAACACATAGGCGCCAGGATTTGTCCTTCTTCGGTACCATCACCAGGTTTGCTAGCCAGTCCGGATGTTTTATTTCTCTGATGAATCCGGTCTCGAGTAATTTGGCTAGCTCCTCTCCCATGGCTTGTCGCTTAGGTTCTGAAAAGCGCCTAAGAGCCTGCTTGACCGGCTTGTATCCCTTCAGTATATTTATGCTATGCTCGGCCAGCCTGCGTGGGATACCTGGCATGTCTGAAGGATGCCAGGCGAAGATGTCCCAATTCTCACGCAAGAACTCTCGCAGCGCGGCGTCTATTGTGGCCCAGGGGCAGAGGAGCTTCCGAGCTTGGTAATTCAGGCTCCAGGATGTTGCCCAATTTTTCTGGCCCGCTGTCCGATTCTAAGTTCGGAGTTTGGGCCGTGTCCTCCCGTAGACGGGTATCCGGCTCGGAGAGCTCGGGAATCCGGACATAGTTCGTCCTCAGAATAGAGGAAGAATCACTGCATTGCTCCTCCACCACCGCTATCTGGTGGGTGACCGGAGAGTTAATCTACCTTTGGTCGGGTTTGAGCCCGATCTGATCATAGTCCGTAGGGACTCCCAGGGAGACGATGCAATCCAAGATCTCGTTCAGGGAGTAGAGCTCTATTGGATCCATCTGCTCGGCGAATTCCAAGCTGATGTGGAGGCTGTTTTTGATGACCCGAGAAGTCATCGTCGGCGCGGCGGCCGAACGGGCGGTCGTGATGAAGCCGCCTAGTTGGAGAGTTTGGCCTATAGCCAGGGCTCCCCCATAGGTGATGTTGTCCTTGATAACAAGGCGAGCCATCAAGCCTTACTGTGATGGCACAGTGGAACTCTCAATGAAAGCACCAATGTCGGTGTCAAAACCGGCGGATCTCGGGAAGGGGGTCCCGAACTGTGCGTCTAAGGCTAATGGTAACAGGAGGCGAGGGACACAATGTTTACCCAGGTTCGGGCCCTCTCAATGGAGGTAATCCCTACTTCCTGCTTGATTGATCTTGATGATATGAGTATTACAAGAGTTGATCTACCACGAGATCGTAGAGGCTAAACCCTACAAGCTAGCCTATGATTCTGATTGTTGTTGTCCTACGGACTAAACCCTCCGGTTTATATAGACACCATAGGGGGCTAGGGTTACACAGAGTCGGTTACAAAGAAGGATATCTACATATCCGAATTGCCAAGCTTGCCTTCCACGCAAAGGAGAGTCCCACCCGGACACGGGACGAAGTCTTCAATCTTGTATCTTCATAGTCCAACAGTCCAGCAAAAGTATATAGTCCGGCTGTCCGAGGACCCCCTAATCCAGGACTCCCTCACCCCCCCTATATGGGTTGGCCAAATTGGAGAAGGAAAGTGGAAGGAGGAAAGGAAAAAGGGAATAGGACTCCCCCTTCCCCCTCTTCCCTTC